GTGTAAATTACACTGTAAAAAGATTTTTATATTTAAAACTGAAAGAGTACTTTTTATGAATCAGCATTTATACACTTGTACTGTTCGTTATTTCTAGTCTAAATGTTGACCAGGTAATTAACACTATTGAGAGTTTTTTTTTTTAAAAAAAAAACAAGAGACACGAGAGTTTTATCCTCATGTAGGCTTAGATTAGAAGTCTCCCCATTATATACTCCTTCGATTCTTAATATAGAATTTAATTATTAAGTTAATTTTGATTTTAAACATAAGATCTATTTCTCATATTTATCATTTTTTTCTAAATTATCCCTATAGATACTCCCTCAACTATAATCAAGTAAATGAGGGAAGAAGGATATTAAAAAAGATGATTATGATGCTTTAAAAAAAATTTCATATTTCTTATAATTAATTAACTTACTTAATTTCTTTAATCTAATCAAATTAGTGAAATAGCTATTATATTAAGGAACAGAAAAGTAAAATTAAAAAAAAAACTTATATTCTAGATATGGAGAACTGTACTTAAATGTAACTGAATGGGGGGAAATAATTATTCACGCAATAATGTGGATTGCCCTTCTAGTTTATATATATATATATATATATATATATATATATATAATTCATTCCCACCTATAACGCAGCCTGTCTCCAATTTTAGTTATAAGTTAGCAAGTGATCATGTGTCTCTATAGCTCTTTTCGATTTTTCAATTAAGGAATTTTGGTTACTTTAATAAGTTCATTGAGGATTGATTAGTCAGCAACTCATACCACCCAAAAGAAAGAAACACTTCTATAATTATCAAATCAATATGGTGATTTTAAATATTGTGATACCTTATACCAAAAAGTTACTTTAGTGTTCCTGCATAAGTTTATTACTCTATCTCCATTATATATATGTTTTTATGACATAGATATGGTTCATTATAATAGTGATTGCGATAACTCATTGTGCAGATTCAGATCATTTAGTTTAGGCTGCAGGTGGGTCAACTCTCTAATCCAAAAATTATTTAAAGGGCTAATCCTGCAACTGAGAACCTCCCTAACGTGATTGGAGCACTAATTGAGAGTTGAATAATAAAGACGATTTTTTTTTAAAAAAAAAAGAATCAAAGGGCTGCATGATTTTCCAACAGCAAAGAATAATATAAATTCTGTAATAAGGTCACATGAATTTAACAATTAAGGAAGTGCATCATTTAAGTTCAAATTATTATCCTACCATTAACCAAAAAAATGCTTAATTAGTTGCAAATTTAAAATTTTATAATGAATCTAAGATAAGAGAGAGTTTGTTTGTTTTTTTTTTTTTGTGGTTTACGATAAGAGAGAGTATTTTATCTTATGAATAAAGATGCAGTAACATACTGATATTAATGTATATGCATAAAAATAGACATGCTTTGGTGCATGCATTACAGGGAGTTCAAAAATGAACTGCATTGTATATAATTTGTGAATATATATAGTACGGCTTATTGAAAATTTCATATTTTATAAATATGTGCTAATTTTTTTAAGGGATAGAATTATTTAATTTGAATAAATTCTGATTGTTTGATCAATTCAATGGTTTATATCTTTAATGAGATCTAAATAATTATTCTTATTCTTAACAAAGTTGAATAATATATACTAATAAAATAGTTAAGTTGAAAACTGTTCTTGTTTAGGCCCCCCAATGTTTGAATCTGAGTAATAGTTCCAGTACCAGATATAAATAATACTACCCACTTTCTATAATATAAAAGCTAGTTAGAAAGTTAGATTTAATTTAAAATATATGATTTTAATTTACTATGTCTTCCAAATTTATAATTTTTTTTTTAAAATATCACTATTGATTGCAAGAGGCTCCACAGCTCCATTCAAGAGGTATTTCTAATGCACAAGATTAGAGAAACCAAGAAGTACAAATAGCTAATTTAATTAGTTTTTTCAATATCTACAAATTAGTTATCTAATTCTTATATCAAGAAATACAAAAAGAAGTATATTATTTAAAAGAACAATTATTTTCATTTTTTCAAATGAGAAAGGTTGAATTAATTTCATTTGTTTTGGTGTGAAAGTTGTGCGTATAATGCATGTATTTCCCACAGCCCATTGTTTCTTTCATCACTTGGATAATATAAAACACACACTTGGAAAAAACTATTGTAAATATTGGAGATGTTCAACCATTATCGTTGTTTAAAAAGCAAAACGTGTTCAATGTATCCATGAAATGAGTCCAAATGCATTTTACTTGGCTTTTCATTAGATTGTTAAAAGAAAATTTAGTTCTTTTTTTATAAGAAAATCAATCTTTAATGGATTTTTACCAGACATGTTGTCGCAAAAAATCTTCTTATAAAAGAATTGGATCGCGCAATGTGATTATGAAAGTGTTTGGTAAAATAATAGAGAGAAGAACCTATAATTCTGTTATATATACCTATTCACTTTCTTTGATTGAAATTCTTATTATTGTATTAGTTTATTGACTCGTTTTGAGTTTGAATTCTTTATTTTCAAAAAAAAAAAGAAAGATTAAATGAACTGTTTTAAGTAATTTTAATTGGTTGATTTAAATTAGGAGAAGATTTAGTTACTCAACTAGCTTTATATATTTAATATACTTTTGTCCAATTAAATTAGAACAAGTGAATGTTAAATATTAATAATAATTAATAACAAGAATTTGTTATAAAATAAATAATATGCAAGAAATGTACAACATGTCTTGGTTTGATTGGAAACAAGAAGCTTTATAATACGTATTATTTTATAATCTTAAAAGTGATTGATTAGATTTGAAACGTCTTTGCCACAATCACCCTTTGTATTTCCTCTTTTTAAAATAAAAACTGTTTGCCACTCAAACGCCATTTTTCACTTATATGCGTGCGCATGAAACTGAACTTACACTTAGCGTCCCTCTCAAAAAGATCTGCCTTTGATATTCTTAATTCAAAAGCAAAACATGTTCAATGTATGTATGAAATAAGTCCAAAAGCCATTAAATTGGCTTTTCATTGGTAAATACAAACAGACAAAGCGCGAATGTAAGATTAAATATTGCATTTTTTAGTCAACTTTTTTTTTTAAAGAAAAAATATGACTTCTAAAATTCCATATCAAGCATAAGCACAACCTATTCAATATATTTTATGAATATATTTAATTTATACATATAATGGCTTGAATGTAGTGTTTAATTAGAAAGTATCGATTTAATCGTCCCATTGTAATTAAAGAAATTAAATATTGATCTAATAACTAAATCCTTTTATGTTATTTTTGTTTATGTGATCGACTATATAGTATATTATTAGTTTGCATTTAATTCCCTCATGTGGAAGTGATCTGATTACATCAACTTGCCTAACGGCTAATAATTTAAGTGACAATTATCCTAAATTTTATTTAAATCAATCGAATATTGATATTGATATTGATATTTCGTCAATATTAACTCACTAAATTCATTATAATGATACTGATCAAGTGAAGATAATTGATTTCCCTCCCATTGAATATAGGAATTTGTTATGGTATGATGTTAATATTGAACTAATTTCTTAATAAGCTTAATTTATTACTTTCCATATTTGATGTGATAACCTTGTGTCTTAAGAAAATCTATATACATAAGTGAATTTACAGGCACTTAACATTTTTTTATATTATTAAATACATCCTCATAAGATATCTCTTAGATTCTCGTAAGCATCTTTTCTAAATCAAAGAAAGAACCTTATCTTTCTGCAACCTTAATCCTAATAAAGTTTCAATCCTTCCTTAATACACTCATCATTTCGATAACAGTGTTAGGGTAGTATCCCACTTTCTTCATGAAATCACATGGTTTTTAGAGTGTTTATATTACATATCTATGCAAGAAAAACGGGTCCTAGGAAATAAAATAGTGTTGGGATAAGTAAGTGACAATAAATATCTCCCTTGAAGTTTTTTTCTTCTTCTTAATGTGAAGCCATGAATTTGAATTTGAACACCCAATAATCAATAAAGTGTGTGAAGTAAGGTGTGAGCCGTTTGGCTCAACTGACACTAAATGCCTCCTTAAGTTTTAATTTAAGTAAGAAGTTGTAAGATTGACCTTATATATGTGTGTGTGTGAGAACGTGAGTTTTAATTTTATTGGGTGAAGAATAACGAGAGAAAATGTGAAAACAAGCCATAAAAGTACAGATTTTTAGGAGACCTGCCCATCAAAATTTTAAGAAAAAATTGATAATACAGCGTTCAAAGAATGTAATAATCTCTTCACAATTTGCTGTTATTATTTCATACTCTATTGAAAAACATTTAAAAAATCATATAATTCAAGAACCACCTGAAATTATAAAGTGGGATTAAACTCATCACGTTCTATTTACACAAAACTTACATATTGCCCTGGCCACAAAATCATTACCACATTAAACATCTTTACCTACCCTTTTCATTATTTGTCTCATTTTTTTTTATTTCTTCTCAATGGAAAACCTCATTATTTTATGACAGAAGAAAAAAAATATCAAAAAAATTAAAGACAAAAATTACAAACTTCGCAAATGGTCTCGATAGCAGCATCACTAACTAACGAGGCATGGGTGAAATATTAAGTTCGAAATTAAATTGGAATTCACATGTTTATATGCATACATATGTTCACTTATATAAAATAAAAAATTACACACTTCAATCTATAATTTTATATAGAAAAACAACGTTAAAATGATTTAAATTTCACTGTTGATTTATATACTTCGTATTTATATTTTAAATATAGAAAATTTACTTTCCCACATGAGACTCGCGGTGCATTCAGAATTCAGAGATTCCATGATTTCTTATTCGCGTTTTTTGTCTATTTTTTTCTCATTATTTTATTTTATTTAACTATTATTGTTATTATTTTAATATATATATATATATATATATATATTTTACTCCCCCGTCTCTCTCATCCTGCAGAGCCCTCCTTTTATAGAGACCAAAGCGCCTCTCTCCTCTCAATCCGCACATCCTTCTCTTTCTCTCTTCATCTCTATTCACCAATTATCAGAATCTTTCAACCAGAAAAAGCGAAGTTTATAGCTATATACATACATAGAGAAGGGGAGAGAGAGAGAGATGGGATTGCAAAACCAGCTAAACGACGTCGCTTCTGATTCGATTCCTCTGCTTTTCTTGGCTCTCGTCGCCGATTGCCTCCACCAGCTCCGCTCCTTCCTTATCACCCTCTTTCAATCGCTCGGACTTTCCAGATTCGACCCAAACCCAGTCGTTGTTGATGATGGATTTTTCGCCGCCGTCGGATCGGGCCTTGCCAGCTTAATCGTCCTTTCCGAGCAGCTCAATCTTAATCGCCGTGTATCTTACAGATACTCCATCGTAGGTGGCGGCGATGATGGTCCTGCCGGCGTTATTGGATCTCCCAAGTGTGTGGTGTGCCAGAGCTCGTTTGAAGATGGGGACCAAGTTCGACGGCTTCCGTGCCGTCATGTTTTTCACCGATGCTGCTTTGATGGCTGGCTGGACCACCTCAATTTTAACTGCCCTCTCTGTCGGACACCGCTGGTGTCCGACGAGCGCGTGACCCTTGCTGAGCGGCGCGTTGGTCCGGAGCTTGTTTCCTGGTTCTCTTGCCGATGAAGCGACGTCGTTGTGTTGCATGATTGGGGACGGCGACGGTAGCTGCGAATTTTACCTTCCTTTTTTTTCATCTGCGGTTGTTTTATCAGAATATTAGGGCAGTTTTGTCTTTTTCCTTCTTAGAATTTAATTATGTTTATTAGGTTTTTATTTTTTTTCCCGTATTTATGGTTTTTTTTTTTTTAAGAACCCTGGCGGTGATATCACAGGGTTTTTTGCCGTGAGCTGCTGTAAATTATAGGCCTTATGTTAGTAAGTGACGAAATTATGAAGCATGTGCCATTACTAATGTTAAAAAGGAAAACCAGCTGAATTTTCTTTAAAATGAATTAAGTGATCGGTATTGTAAGATTTAAGAAATTCAAACAGCACATCCAAAAAGTGGATCATAAATTAAAATTTAGATCATAAATTAAAATTTAGTGTTCTTAGTAAAGCAAGTTCTATTAATTTTGGACATTTCTTTTGGAGTAAAACTTGTTTAAAAAAAAAAAAGGCCAACTTTGGCTAAAAAACATTAACTGCTCTCTGTTAATCACTTAGTGGAACAAATAAATTTTTGTGGGTTTTTGCATCCTTAATTAGAAAAAGTGTTGTTGAGATTTACCGGTAGTTTAATTCATTACTGGATAGATAGAGACAAGAAAGATAATTAATAGATGTAGAGTACATAATGGAGCAATAATTGTGAAATAGAATAAGATAAAGATGAACTACCATAGGAAAGAATAAGGTGAAGATAAGGAAAAAAAGGAAGTGCAAGTAATGCAAATGACAAGACATCATTGTGATTTTGATACTTCACATTAAATAAATGAGAACTAATCACAAAGAGGGAGAATGATACCCAACTACCACTGAAGGGGATATATATATATATATATATATATATATAATCATTAACTTGTATGCTTTCCAAATGAATAGTTGAATACTGCTTTTTGACTTTATTTATAGAACTTTCAAGGTTCAATTAATATTTTTATTGAATTTTTGTCAAATAATAAGATAATTTTTTTTAAAAATACATAAAATGATTGTCATGTACTAAATAGGTAATAAGAATACTATGAGATGTAGATAGAGGTCAAAGGTGCAGAGCTCTCGGCATATTTTAAAAAAAAAAGGGAGAGATAAAATATCATCTTTCAATGTTTATTTATCAATTATTAGTGTGACTTTGCTATCAAAAGTTTATCTACCATTGTTTATTACAATGATTTTTTTTAATTGTGTTTTTTTTTTCTTGGTGAAATTAATTATGTGTTTCTTTAATATATGAGAAATAATATAAGTTTAAGAATTGAAGTAAAATAAAATGGCCACTAAATCTCAAGTGGAAAGAAAAAAGTACTTTCTAGTTTGAGAGGTCAAAATATGAACAGGTAAAGTGAAGTAACTTTAAAGTTGGGAACTAGGATGGGACAAGCTATTTTGCCAAAACCAAAAAACAAAAGGGATAGTACAAGCTATACATAATACTCTCTCCGTTCTTTATTATAAGAGACATTTGATATTTATGGCATGTTCTTATATATAAGAGACACTTAAAAGTTATCTCTACTTTTTTGTGTTGATTTTCTATTTTATCCATATTTATTGTCTCCAACTCACACTCTCTCTCCATCTCACTTCTCTTTTTTTTAATAATTTAATTGTTCTCTCTCATGCTCTCTCTCCTTATTAATGAGGGCATTTTTGAAAAAAAATTATACTTTTTACACATTAATTATTCTTAACTAATTTTAACTATTTTTTTTATCAACGTACTTTGATTATTTGTCTCTTATAATAAAAAACGGAGGGAGTATAGATGAAGATGAGGGTAGCCCAAGCTAGATCACATCTAGCAATTTGGGAGGCGGCTGCTCTCCTTTTCCCTTACCATCCGCTGCCCTCCTCTGCCTTAAAAGCTGCGGCGTTTTGAGTGAAAACAAGGGAGGGAGAAGCCTTTTTTTTTTAATTTAAAAAATATATCTATTATCTTAAAATATTTTTTCAGTGTCATTGCCTATCCTAAATTAACCGTTAATGCACTCAGTAAGGTAAAATATTTTTTTAACAGCACCCAATATTTAATAACCAGCATTTTAAGATGTTTCTTAATAGCACTTAGTATTGTAAAATAATTTTTGGTCCACTTAGCGGGCTAAAATATTTTTTTCAGTAACGCCTATACAACATCCAACATGGTGCGGTGTTTTGCTAGTAGTACCAAGTATCTAGAACTAGATTTTAGTGACCATAAAATATTATATGAAAAATTACTTTAAGATATACTAAAAATTAATTTATGATATTGGATGTTATTAGAAAAATACTTTAATATGATGGATGTCAGATACTGGATATTAAATTTTTACGACATTGAGAGTTAGCTGTTGAGTACCATTAGAAAAACATTATAGAGTGATAAATGTATTAAAAATTAATTTGGGATACTTAAAGATACTGAAAAAATATTTTAGAGTACTAAATTTTTTTTTTTAATAGAAAAGCACTCACTCTCTCTTGTTTTTCACTCAAAACGCTGCAACTTTGAGGGCAGAGGAGGGCAGCGGATGGTAGTAGAGCCGGGAATCAAGGCCGGCCCTTCAGGGCCGGCCCTTCAGGGCTGGCGGGCTTAAAAGGGCCGGCCCTCCAGGGCTGAAATTTTAAAATACCCCAATTTGTTAAGCCCGGCCCTTAAACTACAGGGCCATGGCCGGCCCGCGGGCTTTTGTTCCCGTTTAAGGAAAAATACATTTTTTTATATTTATCAATTTTTTTTATAAAAATATAAAAATAAACCAATGAAATTATTAATAAAAGACACAATATGAATTAATTAAGTCACAAAATATAAAATATCATCATATATAATATTCATCAACATCTAAGAACATCTAAAACATTCATTTACAAGAAACAACATCTAAAAAGTTTATCTATAATGCAATTGTGCAATAAATAAACACTATCATTAATGTTTTAAACTTCATCATCACTATAATTAATTACTTTTCTTCATAAGTATGCTTTTCTTTCGTAACAAAAATATCAAGTTTTTTCTTCTTTATAGAATTTTATTTTTGAATTTTGCAATCTAACTATTATTTTACTTTAATGTGAGAAACATTGTTGTTGAAACTCATGAATTTCTAATTCAATTATAGAATCACAAGTTATAAGTATAAAAATATTCTATTATCCAATAATATATAGTTTAAAAATATTAACGCATATAATATAAATCAAATCATTATTAAAGTCCAAATTAATCGATTTTTTTAAAATTTAATTGGATAAATTATTGTCTAAAACTAAATTTAATTTTAAAATGATAATAATAACTAAATATTTGAAATATTATTAACAATGTAAAAAATTAATAACATTAATATTATATAAAAAATTTTAAAAAATAAAAAAAAATTATAAAAGGACTTAAAGGGCCGCCCGCGGCCCTCCAGGGCCGGCCCTTTTAAGCCCTCGGCCTTCTCAGGGCCAGCCCTCCAGGCTTGTTTCTCATTTTAAGAGAAAAATATCAAGCCCGGCCCTCGTAATTTCAGGGCCTAAACGGCCGGCCCGATGGGCTCGACCCGTTTTCCCCTCCGGTAAGGGAAAGGGAGAGAAGCCACGTCCAGCAAGAGTTTGGGGTTTCGACGCATTAACTAATCCAATTTAATAAATTGATCTAACCTTTCAGAAATACATAACCACTTGAAGGAATAAATTATTTTTAGAGTAAAAGAGTAATTTTAATCTACCAATTTTATATAAAGCTTCTGTTTTATCCCTTGATTTTACAAAACATTTCTTAGTTTTCTTATTCTTACACATTAGCTTTAATGACAATTTTTATACTAGTTTTTAAGAAACACTTAGAATATTTTGTTAATATTTAAATTCACAATGTTGACATTTTTTTTAATAAAATAATAGTATTAGGATTAAAGGATTGAAAATATATGAATCATGTGTAAAATTAAAGGATTAAAAATTTATTTTTGGCTTTCCTGATTTGAGATTTTCAATTCAACTGGTTTTTTTATTTTTTTAAATTTCTCTTCAAATTTTACTATCTGTTTACCGTAAAATATATGCTGCAAGTTACAGAAATAAGATGTGGATTAATTTTATGTCTTTTATTAGAACTGAGAGAAATATCATTTAAAGAATTTCAAATTGTCAATGTGACTCACAATCATGCAAAAGGAATAACGAAATGCCCTTGAGTTTATCTCTCAAAAATACAAAAAATCTAATGTTAGGTTTCTAAATGCTAGCCATAGTCAACGAATATGAAATATTTTTCATTTAATTATTTTTTAAGATCAAACTTAAATGTCTTTAATTAACCTCCGTTTATCAGCAGCCCACCAACTCTAAATGAGGCATTCCTATTCTATTTTATAAGATACTTCCTCCACAAGTCTAATTTTTTAAATGGGTTTGTCTCTTTTTACAAGATTTTTTTTGAGTTTTTCTGAACATTTAATGTAATATTATCT